TAAAGTACCCACCTCTGGGGCTTGTCTTCCCCTGTGCTTTGCCAGTTTTACCATATTTTTACAGGGCATATGCCACTTTGTTATGCTGCTGGCTAACACATGAAAAGTGCTGCTCTATAGTGTCTCTCATTGATGTACATCAAATGAGGAATCTGTTTTCTTGTAAGACGTAGCTTTTCTGTGATTCCTCTACAATTAATGAATTTTCTTCTTGAAATACATTTTACACATAGTTAGGCAGAACTTTTTATGGATTTCCCATCACCATACACAAGTGATATTTGTCCTGGAAACTATGATTAGCTTGGCAGTAAAAGGCAAACATGTTTTTGTTCAAAAAGTACAAATTTTGTTGTGTCTTGTCTTTTTACCTAGGACCTTTGTACCTGAGCTCTGAGGAAGGGGGCTGTGCCTAGCTATAAAGTTTATTTAGTTATTTTTTTTTCTTATGTAGGTAAAATGCCATGGTAGTTGACTAACCTTTGGCACTCCAGCTGCTGTTTTGAACTACATTCCTTACAATGCTCAGTCAGCTACTTGACTGGCTGTGGATGATGAGAGCTAGTCCACAACATCCAGGTTACCAAATGTTAGTTAACACTGTGCTGGGTAATCACAAGATGTCATTAGTTATAGTGAAGCAATTTAGTTTCTATTTTTTGTTGTTGAGTGTGTGTATTCAGAGTTTGAGCTAACATACTAGTTCCCTTTCTGTCAACTCAAAACAGGAAGTTGCTCTGAGTGGCTAAACCTGGCAATGTGTTGAATGCTACACATCACTTTATGCTCTGGTTTGTAGAAACCATTCATAAACTGATTGCCATTCACAGAACATGCCATTTTTGAGCCTTGTGTGCTCTAAAATATGTATTCTTATTAGCTTATAGCTCATCTTCCAACTTTTATGACAGACAACTGGGTTTTGTATAATTACGGCAACATGTAACTACTTGTGTATGTATACAAGGTTTTGGAATGTGGATGTGGCATTTGCATGTATCTTCTGACAAATATATTTCATTTACACTTTTATTATTCTAATGAAATAATTCATAATATTAAATCCAGTCTCATTTACCCATTGTAACATTTAGTTTGTATGCTCACAATCAATCTTTGTATAAAGTGCTGTGAATTCTAGGTTTTAAGCTCACTGGAGAGTCGTGTTTTTTTTTTTTGATTGATATTGATATGTCTATATTGTTGCATATCTTTCCCCCACCTTTTGTATAACACTGCAAAATATGTTAGCACTTATATAAAGAGAAT